GTAATACAACTGCCCATGAATTCTGGTGGGAAGAGCTCTGGAGACACCAACTTATCAGGCAACTTCCATTTAATTCAAGATGACACGACATACATATACCAGTATCTGAAATCATTTGAGCAACTAGCAACAATTGTGTCCCGACATTGACCAAGGAGCTAGGAGATTCTTCATTTATTTTGAGCTCTTTGATACAATGCCCCATAGTGCTATTCAGAGGGGAAAATTACAAAATTAATGTATCAGCCCTCTTAGTTGCTGTCTTAGGCTAGGTTCTCTAGAGAAGCAAAACCAGTGAAGTATATATGTACATGTATATATATGTGTATATATATATATAGAGAGAGAGAGAGAGATTTATCTCAAGGAAATGACTTACACGGTTGTAGAGGCTGGCAAGTCCCAAGTCTGTGGGTTAGGCATCAGGATGGAGGCTTCTCCTGACTCATATAGCTGCAGGGGCTGATGAACTCAGGATTGAGAGGTCAAATGGCAGGCTGCTGGCTCACAGGTTGTGGAGGCTGATGAATCCAAGATTGGCAGGCAGTACCGAGGCCGCTGGCTCAAGTCCCAAGAAACAAGGTCAGATGATAATGAGCCTGATGCAGGACCCAGAGCGAGGAAAAGCCAGTGAGCTTTGCCAGAACATCCATATATATTTGATGCATGCCACACTCCCAAGGAAACTCCCCTTACAACCAATTGGCTGATCATATCAGATCACATCATGGAGCTGATTACTCTGTATACAAAATGGAGGATAACTATATCATTATATAACTGCAAATTACATTATTACATAACTGCCAAATCACTGAGAATCATGACCTAGTCAAGTTGACACATAACCTTAACCATCACAGTTGTAAACAACAGAACCCACTCCAACTAGAATAAGCAGAAAAAGATATCAGTCCCACTGCTAGGCCAAAGTGCAAATGAAAAAGCCACTCCATTCCTCAAGACATTTCACTGCTTTTTGTTGAAATGAATTTCCAATTGTTATAATAAATAAGTGATGACTATGAATATGAATGATGCCCCTCTGAAGTTGTGCAGTGTATAAACCTGTAGCACCCTGGACCACCACCCTGGATATCATGTGAGTCACATAATTTCTGGAAGGGTCTAAGAGTCCAGCTTGGAGGCTGCACAGAAATGAAACACTCCCAAATTATATTGAGGTCTGCTTTAGAGAACACCTAGAGCCCCTGCTGCTGGGCACAGACACCACAGCTAACCCTGCTTTCCCTGGGCATTGGCACTCCAGCTTGAACCTCTCCATGTCAGTTCTGGAAGCTGCTATCTTCCAACCTTCACCAGAATGGAGTCCACCAAGTACCTGCTTCTTCACACCACTAACTGCTGAAACACAATTGCCCAAGTCCACCTGATTGACAAAGTCTTGGTCAGTTGTATACATCTTAGCTGCAAGAGATGCTGGGAAAGTAAATTCCTGATTCTACTTTGGGAAGGTGTCAACTCATAAAGTTGGAAATCTCCAAATTTAGTAAGGTGTTCAAAGGCACCCAAAAAAGCATGACAGATGTGTACTGCAGCTAGCAACTATTGTGTTTAGCAATCCCTTCTCTCCTTAGTGTAGTTTCTTTCACACTTCTTAGTGTCCCCTCCCCATTACCATAAATTTTTAGCCTCTTCTAAGATCCTCGTTGTTGTTAGTTGCTGTGGAGTCAATCCCAACTCATGGCAACCCCGTGTGTGCAGCATAGAATTTCTCCACAGGGTTTTCAAGGCTGTGACCTTTTGAAAACACCTTACCAGGTCTGTTTTCCGAGGCACCTCTGGGTGGGTTTGATCTGCCAACCTTTTGGTTAGTAGTTAAGTGCTTAATTGTGTCACCCAGGTACTCAAGATCTTTATACATTGGTGAATTCTCACTGGGGAGTAGGAGACTTTTCTCCCCTTTATGAATATCACTGTTTTAATAAGCTACTCCCACTGATAATGATGGAAGTGTATAGATTATGTCAGGTTTGATGGGATGAGAAACTATTTGAGAACCACTGCTCGAAGGTGAAGAGAGTTTAATGAGTGATCCCTTCCAGAGGTGCCCACATTTTCCTGAGAGATTCATGAACTTCTAAAAGAACTCAAGGAGCAATAGAATCTTGGCTACTCTTCCAGGGCCCCAGACTCAATTTAATCAAAGACCCCAGGACACTCTCTCTCCAATGGCAGGGATATGAGTGTGCAGGAGAGGGAGACTCTAGCCTTTTCATGGGCCAATATTTTCTCTCCCAATCCCACTACTCTAGTTCAGGTCTTACTACCTTGTCTGCATTAGTGCATCTGCCTCCACACTAGATTCCCCAGACTCCAGTTATAGTCTCTCTAATAATTCTCCAAATTGTAGTTATAATAAACTGGTAAGGACATCTCCCAGATTAGACACATTCAATACGCCGTACCAAATACAGAGAAAGGTACAAGTTCCTTAACACATCATTCGAGGCACTTCATGGCCAGGTTCTACCTTGCTTCCTGTCATTTTTCATGATACATACCTACTGCATCCTCCAGCAACCCTGGACCACGTATCATTTCCTGAACATGCCTCATACCTACTTGTCTCTGTAGTTTGCAAAGCTATTTTATTTGTTCTTTTGTTCATTCTTTTATTTAACAAACATTTATTAAATCATTCTCTAAGACAGGCACTATTTTGGGTATTGGGGATAAAGAAGTGGACAAAAAAGATCCCTGCTCTCATGGAATTTACATTATGGTAAACTATATGGGGGTGAAGAAGTGGTGAGGAACAGTAGACTATTAACAAGAAAACTAATCTATTAATAAAATAATTCTAGAGAGAAACAAATGCTATGAAAACAACACAGAGTGTTGTGAGGAAGTAACATTGTAGCTGAGATTTGGATGATCCAACGAAGGCAGCCGGGTGATGATTGAGGGAGGAGTCTTCCAAGCAGAGGGAAAAAAAACAAGAAACCAAACCCATTGCCGTTAAGTCGATTCTGACTCATAGTGATCCTATCGGACACAGTAGAACTGCCCCATAGGGTTTCCAAGGAGAGCCTGGTGGATTTGAACTGCCAACCTTTCTGTTAGCAGCCGAGCTCTTAACCACTATGCCACGAGGGCTCAGGTGCAAAGACCATAGAGTGTGAACAAGCTTGGCATTGTCCTCTAGGACAGGAGGAAGGCTAGTGTGGTTGGAGCATGGAGAGCAGGGGTGCAGTTCCAGATGCAGCCACAGAAGTAGGTAAGGCTGGATCAGCAACTGTTGGGCTTTGTAAGCTGTGGAAAGAAGTTTGGATTTTACTGGAAGTGAAGCTGAAAGATATAAGTAGAGAAATGATTAAGGTTACTGTCTGGAGCATGGGTTGTAGGAGGCAATAGTGGAAGTAGGGAGACCAGATAGACTCTGTTGGAACTCATGCACATTGTCATGTTTTAAGACCCAGCTCAAATATCATCTGTTTCCTAAGGCAGAGCCAGTGTCTCTTTCTTAAATTCACCATATTCCCTTAGGCAGGTATAGCATTGTCTTAGTCTTCTAGTGCTGCTGTAATAGAAATACCACAAGTGGATGGCTTACCAAACAGAAGTTTATTCTCTCACAGTCCAGTAGGCTTCAAGTCCAAATTCAGGGTGTCAGCTCTAGGGGGATACTTTCTCTGTTGGCTCTGGAAGAAGGTCCATGTCATCAATCTTCCCTTGGTCTGGGAGCATCTCACCGCAGGAACCTCAGGTCCAAAGGACATGCTCTGCTCCTGGCACTGCTTTCTTGGCAGAGTGAGGTTCCCATGTCTCTCTGCTCACTTCTCTCTTTTATATCTCAAAAGAGATTGGCTTAAGACGCTACCCAATCTTGTATACCTCATCAGTATAATTGCTGCTAATTCATCTTATTAGATCATAGTGACTGAATTTACAACACGTAGGGAAATCACATCAGATTATGAAACGGTACACAATCATACAATACTGGGAATCATGGCCCAGCCAAATTGATACACACACTTTTTGGGGGACATAATTCAGTCCATGACAAGCATTTATGCATATTTCTCTCTCAGTAGACTGAGATCCTTCAGGGTCCCCTGGGCAGCCTCCACTCCTGTGCTGCCCCGTTCACTCGTTCATAGGGGAAATGGAGTAATAGGGAGAGCCTCTTAAACTCTGTGGGTACAGGCTGTCCTTCCAGTTAAGAGGGGGTTCTCTGGGGGATGTATGTTTGGCTTTCTATCTGAGGTAATATAAGTTCAAATGTTTATAGATGTTTGAAGCTGGGATGAAAGCGTTTCTGTTCATGCTGCTAGATTCTGTGAGTCTTTTTTTTTTTTTTAGTCGACAGCCCATAGCAAAACGTTGGTTACTTGGCTGGAGACAGGAATGTAGTGTGAGGAGCAACATTTCATCTTCTTGCTCTGAGCCCAGAGGCAAACCTGGAGCAGGAGCAGCGGGAGGGCAGAGCCCAGGGGCTCCTCAGTTGGGACCAGGCCAGAGGCACCTGGGGATCTGACCCTCCTGGGAAAGAAGGAAAATCATGGAGGGTCGGGCAGGCTGCAGCTTTCGATAGGACCCCCCCACCCCGGGTTTTACAGGCGAGGGCAGAAGTTCCGAGGAAGCAGAGGCTGGCGGGGTCAGGAGTCCCCCAGCCTAGCGCAGACGAGGCAGCTCGTGACGCAGGGCAGGGGGCAGGCTGGTGACCACCGGGGCCGGAGCCTGGGCCGCCGCGCCGCTGGCCCGCTCGCCCCAGACATTCCGTTTCTGCCACTGGAATGCGCAGACAACGCTACTTGTTGGCCTTGGGCAGGGTTCCCCGGCTGGGCCTGGCGGTCACCGCCCCCTGCCCTGTCTCCGGCCCTCGCGGCCTTCCGGGGGCGGGGCGGGGCGGGGCCTAGGGCCGCGGGATCTTTAAATGGGCCGCCTCTGCGCTGGACACACGTCCCCGACTGACTGAACGACTGACCGACGACCCGACGGACAGACACATAGGCAGGACCGCCGAGCCCGCCATGCCGCGCCACCTCCTGAGAAGCCTCCTGCTGCTCTTGCCACTGCTGCTGCTGCCGCCCCCCGCGGCCCCGGGCTCCCTGGCCCGCCGCTCTCCCGCCGCCCTCCCGTGGTCCCGGAGGCTGGGGACCCGCGGGCCAGCGGGCAGCCCCGGGCGCCGCCCCGCTCCCACAGACGCACCCTCTTTGCGAGTCAGCGAGCCCGGCGGGGCCCGCGGCGCAGGTACAGCTGGGTTGGAACAGGCGAGGAAGCCCAGATTGAGAGGGATAGGAGGGGGCTATAGGTAGGGAACCCCAGCAAGAGGAAAGGAGGGAGATCTGGGCTGAACTGGGGCGGGCTGGGCAGGAGGATCCAGGCATTGAACAAGGAGGAGAAGCCTCGGTCATCCACCAACGCTTCGTCGCAGCCAAGCTTGAGCCAGACAGTGGTGCTTGAAAGGTGTGTAGCGTGAGGAGCAACATTTCATCTTCTTGTTCTGAGCCCGGAGGCAAACCAGCAGCAGGAGCAGCGGGAGGGCAGAGCCCAGGGGCTCCTCAGCTGGGGACCAGGCCAGCGGCACCTGGGGATGGTGGATGGAGAAAGAAAGCCCTTCGCCATGAATCCTGTGGGGAAACTGAGCTCCAGAGAATGGAAGGGAGATGCCCAAGGTCAATAGCATGTCAGGGCTAGATTTGGGGTCTTCTCAACCTCAGACTCTAGCAACTTCTCCCTCTGATTTGGGCAGGGAGAATAGGGCAGCAGTGGAAACAGTGGCCTGCCTCCAGCTCTCTTAGTCCCGGACCCCTCGGTTGCGCTGAACAAATCCTTCCTTAGATTCTGCTTTTAGTTCTCTTGAAATCCCTCCATTTATGTTGCCCCAGATTGATGGTGATCCTTCCTGCCCTCCCCACGGGTATCTAGAGGCCCTCCAGTGTCGGATCTGGGCCAGAATTCAGATTGGAAGGCAGAGGTGGGGGCTGTGAGGCAAGGAAGGAACTTTTGAGGAGCACGGGATGCCCAAGCGCCAGTCTTGTTACCATCCTTGTCTCAATCCCTGTTCTCTTGCTTGAACTGACTGGGCACCACACCTAACCTGAGCTGTCTTAGATCCTCAAAGACCCAGAACTTGTGGTCTTTGGCGAACAATTCCACTTCATTTTTTCCTCGGTAACTGGCTCCTGAGGCAGAGAAAAGCTCCTAGAGCAGCAGAGCTGGAAGGTCATCTGGCCCACCTCTAACAGCACACACAGGGAGGGAAAAGGAAGCTTATTGAAGGGAAGGGCTCAACAAATTAGTGTCGGAGCTCAGAGTAGAACTCAAATAAAATCAAACCCAACCCATTGGTAACCAGTTGATTCCCACTCATAGCGACCCTATAGGACAGAGTAGAACTGCCCCATAGGGTTTCCAAGGAGCAGCTAGTGGATTTGGACTGCAGACTTTTTAGTTAGCAGCCAAAATCTTAACCACTGTGCCACCAGGGCTCCAGAGTAGAACTCATCTCTGAAATGCAAAGCAAAGGCTCTTTTTACTGTTCCAAGTTGCCAAGCTCTTAATATGATATACTTATAATTTTCTCTTCGTTAGCAAAAGTCCAGCTTCAGTCTCACTAAAGAGACTCTGCACCGAACTGTCTTCTGGGTTTCTAGTCTCACCTGGCCAGAGATGCTTCATGCCTCAGACTGCTTTGCATTGTCTACCTCCTCCTGCACCTTTCTGGATAGTGTGGAATGAGCCCTTTTCCACACCAGCCCCAGTGGGCTGGATTTGAAATGGCAACAGCATTGAGGCTGGAAATGCCCAGGATTCACAGGGTTTAAATCAGTTGGTGGATCCAGGCCAGGAATAGGGACAAAGCCTTTGTTCTAGAAGTTAACATTACCTCTGGTCCAAGGGAGATGGGACTGGGAGAGGGTGGAGGGATTCTGCATGGGTGGGGTGGCCATGTTCTCCCCTAAACTGCACTGGTTCTTCATTCCCTGGGATCCATACCTGATCTTGAAGGATAATTCTTTAATAAGCACCACATTCCAGACTTTTCCAAATTCTCTCCTTTTAGCCACCAGAAATTGCTAAGCTTTGCTAAGGGCTTTTATTTCTAGCAGGGGTTTCAGGAAGTGATAATATTGTGAGTTATGAAAACATTGTAGGAAATTCAGATTCTCACTTTGTTTGCTCCTGAGAATTAATTTGCTGCTCTCTAGTAAATGGGAGTAAGGGTTAAAAAAGAAAAAATTGATGATGGTTGCCAAGGGGATCCAAATCAGGAAGAAACCAGATGCTCACAGGATTCCCTACCACTCAAGCCTCTGCGTTAGTTTTCTATTGCTGCTGTAACAAATCATCACAAACTTAGTGGTTAAAACAACACATATTTCTGACGTAGGTCTCACTGGGCTAAAATCAAGGTGTCAACAGGCTGTTGGGGAGAAACCGTTTCCTTGCCTTTTCCAGCTTCCAGAGGTTGCCCACATTCCCTGGCTGCTGGCCTTCCTCCTCCGTCTTCAAAGTCAGCAAAGCCTCCATCTTCAAAGTCACATCTCATCACTCAGGCCTCCTCTTCTGCTCCCCTCTTCCACTTTTAAGGACCTTTGCGATTACACTGGACCCACCCAAATAATCCAGGATAATCTCCCCATCTCAAAGTTTTTAATCACACCTGCAAAGTCTCTTTTGCCATGTAAAGTAATATATACACAGATTGCAGAGATTAGGATGTGGGCATCTTTAGGGGCTATTATTCTGTTTACCATACCCCTTGTAAACCCAGGTGAAAAACCAAGAGGAGAAGGAAGAAATCATGCACATTTAGTTTTAAGAATGTAATCATGATATTTATAAGGTCACTATTTGAGTTTGTGTGAAAGCATTGTCAGTTACAGGGTTCATATCATCATGGATTTGTCCATTTATGCCAATTATGAAAAAAAAAAACACCCTAAATCCATCTCCAGGAAGGATTTTCAACATAATTCTTCCTCCTTACTTCCTGATCCATGATAATATCAAGGGATGAAGTGAAATTTTGTAGTTGTTTAAAAAATATTTTTAACTCCCTTTGACTTAACTAAATACATGACGCCCAGCATATGTCAGGGTGGTGGCTCAAAGTCATCCAGCAAGATGTTTACTAGGTACATGAGATAATGTTATTTTTGTGGTGGAAAAATGTTACTTCAGAGAAGGCAACTGTGGTGCCGTGGAAAGCCCCTAGTCTGGGAGTCAGGAAACCTGGAGTCCAATCCATACTCTACCACTTTCTAGCTATTGCATCTCCCTGAACCTTAACTTTCTCATCTGTAAAATGGGCATAAAATCAACCTCTGCACCTCCAACTTCACAGGGTTGTGGTTTTGGTGCCCTGTGATCCCTAAAATGTCATTCGAAGTAAGATATCATTTATTCTCCTAGTTGAATACCTCCAGGTAGCAGGATAAACCCAAGAGGATAATTTTGAGCTTTTTAAAGAAATTGCTAACCTTTCAGTTAGCAGTCAATTGCTTTAACCACGGCACCACCAGGGCTCCTTAAAAACAACAATAGGTCCTCAAAAAATATTCAGTGAATGAATAAATGAAAGAGAATTGACCAAGAGAGTTTGATGGGGCAGTAGCATAGATACGAGGTCACAGACTCTGCTTCTGAAAACAACAAGACAGACTTACAGAGTTGGAAGCGGAATAAATATCTATCAGATTGTCATCCCTCTCTCCCAGTAACCTAACTCAGGGCTAGTTGGGTCGAGAAGTTTACTAAACATGAATGAATGATAAGATGAGGGAGAACTGAGGGCTATTCTGGAGCAGTTTTCACCCCCCTGAAGTGGAGTAAAAGAAGGAAGACGCCAGAAGAGCATCAGAGTGCCTTGCATCAAACTCTGCCATTGCCTGAGGGGCCTGAGAAGACCTGGGCAGGGTGGTCTGCAGTGAGGTTGGCCCTGGGAGTCCAGGGCCTTTTACACTATTTGTGGACAGTTTGTTCCATTGCCTCAGATGGCCAAAGTGTCCAAGAGAGATCTGGAATACATTCATTCTTAGGAATCAAGGGGAACCTTGGGAGCAAAACATTAAGAGAGAGAAGGTTCTAAGTGAAATTTCAGGGTTCAGCCAGCCCATAAGTGAAGTATTTGGTGGAAATTTCATCCCTCTATTTGAATTCTTACTAGGGAATTCTGAAGGCCTTGGTGCTTTCAACACTCAAAGGGAAGATGATCTTGGGGAAGATAGTAGGCAGTGGGTTGCTGGGTTAGAGGATTGTTTTATTTCTGTTGTGGCCTGATCATTGCTTAGTTTTTTTCTGCTCCCCACACCCTTCTTTGCAGGTGTTTGCAAGAGCAGACCCTTGGACTTGGTGTTTATTATCGATAGTTCTCGCAGTGTCCGGCCACTGGAATTCACCAAAGTGAAAACCTTTGTCTCCCAGATAATTGACACTCTGGACATCGGGGAGGCAGACACGCGGGTGGCAGTGGTGAACTATGCTAGCACCGTGAAGATCGAGTTCAACCTCCAGGCCTACTCAGATAAGCAATCCCTGAAACAGGCCGTGGCTCGAATCACACCCTTATCAACAGGCACCATGTCGGGCCTGGCCATCCAGACAGCAATGGATGAAGTCTACACAGTGGAGGCAGGAGCTCGGGGGTCCAACTCCAATATCCCTAAAGTGGCCATCATTGTGACAGATGGGAGGCCCCAGGACCAGGTGAACGAGGTGGCAGCTCGGGCTCGGGCATCTGGTATTGAACTCTATGCTGTGGGCGTGGACCGGGCAGACATGGAGTCCCTCAAGATGATGGCCAGTGAGCCCCTAGACGATCACATTTTCTACGTGGAGACCTATGGGGTCATTGAGAAACTTTCCTCTAGATTCCAGGAAACTTTTTGTGGTAAGTCTGTGCTTCCAACAAGAAAGGATGTTATATTCAGATATTGTGTATCCATAGAAAAAGAGATTTATTTATTTATTGTTTTGGTGGCAGTTTTATGGAAAACTTAAAATATAGGCAGTGCTTTTTTGGTGTGTTTTTTACCAACTTAAACACACTTTGTTGGCTTGGGAATATAGAGTTGCATTATATATAACTTGGTTTGCTCATAAAATCTTCATGTTTGCATTAGAGACGTGAAGTTCTGGAAATATCCAGGATAAATACTCCTGCTGTTCCCTGACAAGGTCAGGGAAAAAAAAAAAAACTCAAGATGCCTCTCTTTTCCCCTCTGCCCCACACTATATTTTTTTTCCAGATTTTTTTTTTTTAGCTTTACCATCTCTAGATTTAACAGAACTCTGCTTGTTCTCCTACAGAAGACAGGGAGCAGCATCTGTTCATGGAAGGGTCGGCTGGCCCATATCCCAATGTAACTGTCAGTGCGCGTGTACATGTAAGGCATACTCTAGTTTTCAGATTCTGCTCTGTCTTGGACTATCCTCTTTGGTGGGACAGGATTATGGACCAGGGAGGTTGGGGTTTCTGCTCACTTGAGAGATAGCAAGAAACATATATATATGTATATATAAATTTTATTGTTGTTCTTTAAGTGAAAGTTTACAATTCAAGTTAGTCTCTCGTACAAAAATTTATACATACATTGTTATGTGACCCTAATTGCTCTCCCTGTACTATGACAGTACTCCTCCTTTCCACCCTTGATTTTCCGTGTCCATTCAACCAGCTCCTGACCCTCTCTGCCTTCTCATCTCACCTCTGGACAGGAGCTGCCCATTTAGTCTCACGTATCTACTTGAGCTAAGAAGCACACTCTTCACAAGTATCATTTTAAGTCCCATAGTGCAGTCTAATCTTTGTCTGAAGAGTTGGCCTTGGGAATGGTTTTAGTTCTAGAAACAGATATTTTAAAAAATCATTCCATTACTCTCCTTCTACTCCTTTCTTCCTTTAGGAAGGAGTTTGAATGTGCACATGTTAATTTAATTAGTTTTTAGTATGAACTAGCCAAGTTCATTAATACTAACCCATTCAAGGCTTGGGTGTATTTTAGTCACTCATCAAAACTATGTATTTTTGGAACTAATACTTTATTGTCTATCATTTAGAGATATTCTTTCAAAGCCCCCTATGGAATTATCCAAGCAGGTGTGGACAAATTTCTACTACAGGTGAATTTTCACTTGATCTGAGCTAAAAGACTGAGAAATGATAGCTCAAGTATGTTTTAACACATAGATACCTTTCTGATATAGAATTTATTCCACAATTTATTTATTCAATATACCTTTCTTGATCACTGATGATGCAAAAATAAAGACAGTCCTTCCTTGTCATCAAGTCTGAGGGTGAAGGGTGAGACAAACCAGTGAACTAATAATTAAAATTGTCAATTTCAAGGAGACTTTATATCTAAATTAATGCGAAACCCAGCAATCACGAGTTTGCCAGGAAATGGAACATGAAGTCTTGGCCTGGGCTGAAGCCTGGTCTCATTCAGACAGACCTGGTCTGGATCTCCCTTGTCTTTCCTGTCCCAGCACACTGGACCTTTACAAGCCTTCTTTGGCTTTGGTAGCATCTACTTGGAATTCATTGGTTTCCCCAAAAGAAAATGGCTTTCTTTCTCCCAGGAAAAGTACCCCCTGGCTTGTGGGTGAGAGCTTTTCCATAAAGGTGTTGTTCTGTGGCAAAGCTGGGTCTCAAAGTTAGCACCTGGGGTTGGGCCTGAGGACCATCAAGTAACAAGTGGTGAGTGGTAATCTTTTCCTTTTGGAAAAAAAGGCCTGCTTGTCCTGGGGGGACAATATCCTCTCTGTGGAAAAAAGACTGAGGAGCTGCTTGTTGTAGTCAACGGGTTAGAAAGATCATTCCATGAAAAAGCCCTTCTTGGGGAAATATTAGCCTTGTCCTGTGGCCAAGGGCAAAGGGGGCCGAGTTACCCACCACAGAAGTGCTAGCCTCCTCCAACAGGCTTCCTCGGTTTCTCAGAAGTGACTACATTGATTGATTTATTTTTCAAAACAAGTCACTACAAAAAAAAAAAAAAAAAAAATCCAATGACATATAAATGGATCCAGGAACAAAAACATGGAGATGCAGTTTAGCTCATGTATTCTCATTAGTTTTGTTCTTTCTTCCTTTTATTTTTACTTGTTTGTGTTTAGTGTATGAGTTCATTCTCCCTGAAGACATCAGGGACTCAGTAGTTGCATATGGGAGCCCTGGTGGTGCTGTGGTTAAGAGCTCAGCTGCTAACCGAAAGGTTGGCAATTTGAATCCAGCAGCTGCTCTTTAGAAACCCTATAGGGCAGTTCTACTCTGTCCTATAGGGTCACTATGAGTTGGAATCGACTCAACGACAGCAAATTTGGTTTTATTAGTTGTGTATGTATATATTTGGATTCAAGAACCCATGCTGCATATTTATAAGGCAGTTACCTGCATTGTCCTCCACCATTTGGATGTTCAAGTATGTGTCACTACCCAAGTATGAGTAAGGTCCAGGCCCAAAGGAATGCCTGTGTGTGAATTCTGCTTAGATGCAACTCAAGAACGTTTGGAAACCAGATTCTTGTTGCAGTGGGACAACTGGCTCATAGAACTTCAGAAGTATATTATTATTCTCATCTCTTGTGGTTGAGAAACAAAAATCTTTTTCATGGGCTGTTGGGTAAGCTGAATAATACATTAAGTTGTCTGACCTATGTAAGTGTTTGGTTTCAGCTCCAAATTTAAACTTCCCTTTCTCCTTTGAGAAACTCTACAACAAGCTCTGCAATTTTAAGTTAGTAACATTTCTAGTTTGAGTGTTATTTCTAGTAAGCTAGAGGTATAAAACAAACAGACAATTTTTATAGTGAACTAAAGATAGAGTTGGAAAGGAACCTGGAGAGAATGTTGTTGTTGTTGTTTTTTCTTTATCTGAAATGTTTCTTAGATGTTAATACTGACTGCTCTAAACTTCCTTTGCACAGCTGTGGACGCGTGTGTGCTTGGCACGCACCAGTGCCAGCATGTGTGTATCAGTGATGGAGAAGGCAAGCACCATTGTGAGTGTAGCCAAGGATATGCCTTGAATGCTGATAAAAAAACATGTTCAGGTGAGGCCTTGCTTAGGAAATGGCGGTTGACTAGGAGTTATTTGGGAGGTCTATTCCGCAGGTTTTGGACTGGGCTTAGGCTTTGACTCTCAAACCCCTTTTCACCTAACTCCTTTTGGCTGGTTTACTGTTGTTCATCAACAATTCTTCTGGAAAAGGAACATGGGGATAAAAGTGAGATAAAACATAACTCAATCTGTTGTGTTACTTATTAACCAGTCTTAAGGGAAAGGAATTGTAGGGAAGAGGGCCAAAACTCTTGGCCCTTTTATGTGAATTATATTTAATTAAATACAAGCTATCCCTTCCTCTCTGTTACCATAGTTGCTCATAGAATCTAGAAGAAAATTTAGAAAGGTCTTTATGCATTTTTAGTATATGAATATTCACATAGAATCAATGAGATTAGGTTAATTTTTTCAAATCCTAGAAAAAAATTTTGAGAGGAAATTTAGAGATCATTTAATCCAACCCACTCATTTAATAGATAATGAAATTGAGACCCAGAGAGAGGGAACATCTTACCCATGTCACTGGGTCTGTTAGTGATAGAGCCAAGACCAGAAAGCTGGTTGCCAGCTCTGAGTCCAGTACCCTTCCTCTTGTGCTGTGCTGCCCCATGCATCACTAGCAGTGTTTTGTATGTGTGTGAGCGAGTGTGTAAGCAGTGAGGCTAATAACTACTTACCGTATATTCTCCATATGCTCACATTTATCCTGATCATCTTTTGATAGCTGTTGACAAGTGTGCTCTTAACACTCATGGATGTGAACACATTTGTGTGAATGACAGACCTGGCTCTTATCATTGTGAGTGCTACGAAGGTTATACCTTGAATGAAGACAGAAAAACCTGTTCAGGTAAGTGAGGAGGAGTCTTTACTATTGCTACCTATCTATCTAACAGCCTATCCAGTGTGGCCGGGCAGATCATGTTGACTGGAAATGATCTGTTTTCCTCTCTTGCCACCCTTAGCTTTTCCCATTTCTAAGTCTTATTGGAAAAGATAGAAATGGTGGCATGTATGTATCATGGCTCACACGTATAAATGTGTTGTTCATTTCCTTCTCTATACCTAGCCCCAAAAGTTCTTCCCAAATGCTAATGACAATATAGTAAGTTAAAACCAAATAACACTGCACAAGATATTTATTACTCCCAACGGGAAACACAGTAACTTTATAGTGGAGAAATCTGGCAGACACTACCTTAACCAAGCCATCAAAGTTAACATCACCAGTAATGACACCTAATGACATCATGTATCTATAACATGATATACTGAGGGTAAAATAGCACCTTACCGACCAGGTTAAATGATGTGATTGGTAAGAAAAAAAAAATGCATAACCTGAATTGACTCATGAGGAAACATCAGACAAACCCAAATTGATAGACACACTACAAAATAATTTTCCAGTACTTTTCAAGTGTGTCAAACTCACAAAAAAGAGAAAAACTAAGGAAATTTCTTTCCTAATTTGAAGGAGACTAAGGAAACATGACAACTTAATGCAATGTGTGATTGTAGATGGATCATGGACCAGAAAATGGACACTAGTGGAATAATTGGCAAAATTTGAATAAGGCCTATAGGTTAGTTAATCATAGTGTATCATTGCTAATTTCTCGTTCTGATATTTTATGCCATGGTTAGGTAGGATTTGGTTAGGAAACTGGGTGAAGCACAGGAAGTTACTGTATTATTTTTGCAACTTTTTCATAAGTCTGAAATTATTTCAAAATGAAAAATTTAAAAATAAAAAATATATAGTTTAGAAATGTTATCTCCATACAGGAACGTGACTGAGTGAAAATTTAAGTCTTGAGATCTGATGCTGGTTCTGAGTCAGTTGGTCTCCTCCTTCAGACTTAGTTTCGTCATTTATGATAGGGAAGAGTTGAATTATAATTACTTCAAACTCTATGTTTTTCTGAATCTAGTGTAATTAGTCACACAGCTATTGACATCCTCCTGATTTTGGATACATACAATAAACCTAAAAGGAATTTTTTTGAAAGTACTTCTGAGATACTTGTATCATAAAAACTCAACACTGATGATTTTGAAAAGGAGTTGGAGAAAGCAACAGAATGATTATTGGGGTGTGTAGAATTTTGTTTAACTTAGCTAACCTCTATTGTCAGTTGCTGTCAATTCCAGCTCACGGTGCCCCATGTGTGAAGAGTAGAACTGCTCCATAGTGTCTTCAAGGCTGTAACTTTTCAGAAGCAGATTGCCAAGCCTGTTTTCCCAGGTGCCTCTGGGTGGGTTTGAATCACCAACGTTTTGGCTTGTAGTCAAGAACTTAACTGTGCCACACAGAGCTCTAGGTAACCTCTAGTGAGAGCAAATTGTACCAATGGATTTAATAGTTTCAAATAGGATTTCCTCTTATACATTTCTAGTGGCAAATAAGATTTCTGTAAATGGGTAATAAAACACTTTCAGTTTTTATTTCTTTTCTACCTGACTTCTGTTTGATAGCTCAAGATAAATGTGCTTCTGGTACACATGGGTGTCAGCACATTTGTGTGAGTGACGGAGCTGGGTCCCATCACTGTGAATGCTATGAGGGTTACACTCTGAATGAAGACAAAAAAACATGTTCAGGTAAGGTCCACTCAACAAATTCTTTCATACTTGGCTTTTTCTATTGCAGTGAAACCAACTTTCAGTTCACCAGAAGAGAGATTCTTAAAGGTAAAATTTTAGACTCAAGGTTCAGGCATTCTGCCATACTCACAGGCTAAGCCATGCATTGCTCAGAGAGCAATGAACTAACTAGGTTTTGCAAACATAGATTATTCCAGAAAATTACTGGAAATGGGGTGGGGGGAGTATAAGAAAAGCTAACTGAATGGAGGGTATTTATCCAGGAAAATTTTATAGCTCTGTCCACTGGGGACTTTTAAAGCAAATAGGAAACTTCATAGGAAGTCAGTTGGACAGTAACTATTTGGTGTGATAGGCTGAACTGAACTTTTTTCCAGTTAAAACCTGGCCTGGAACTTTTCTGTAGTGTTAATCTTACAGATTTTGGTAAAGGGGACTTTGTCAGTGACTGAATTAGACCCACATGTATCTTCCAGTAAGTTTGAAGCAAGTTGTTCCTTGACAGTTTCTAGATGGTGAGTCTTCAGTGAATCTGAGCCTTGTGAGGGACTTGGCTAATGAGCCCACACCAGGACTGCCGATCCTCATTAATTTGATTTAAACTCACTGGCAGAACAGGGTAGCATTTATAAAGAAAAACACTTCTAAGAGATATTCTTAGCTCTCAAAGTGGTGTTTAGTTTTGGCTTATTCAGTATGTTTCAGATTTATGTATATTTTCCTCTCCCTTGAGGAAATATATTATGTGATTTTTTTCAAGATAGATTAAGGGAAATGGCATATCACCAATTCTCCTTTTTATAAAATGAAATCAATAAAAGAGTACTGAGCACCTGTTTTGTTCCCAGGACTGTGCTAAGCACTGTGAGGATATGAAGAAGCATACGTTTCTGCCTCCAAACAACATAGCCTGGCTGGAAAGGGTATCAATACCTCAAGAAAGGAGAGAATGAGTAGCTAGTGAGAGGGATTGCCATAACTAAGGGCTGTTGGAGTCTAAGGAAGGCAGGATGTCTGGGAAAGGACACAGAGAGGTGGGGTTGGGCTTGGGTCTTGAGGGATCGCGAAGGTTTAGATAGAGACAAGTGAGGAACAGTATGGGCAAGGGGAATGACTTGAGTGAGTTTGTTCAGGGGAGTAGGACTAAATCAGGGTGGAGAGGACTCACGGATAGCTGCACTTCTCAAACAGATTATAAGTATCCCAGTTGGCGCTTTAAGCCGTCAGGAACATTGAAGACCTGGGAAAACAAAACAAAAGAAATTTACATTTAAACAAACAGATATTATGGAATAAAACAAAGCCTTTTATTATAAAAACATGAAAGAAAATTTTCAATTAAGGCAGACTACTTCAGGCAATACTCCAGATACTGATCGCTAACATTCTTCAGTGCCTACTGTCTGCCATGCCTGGTCTAGGCATTTAACTCATTTAATTCTCACATCAATTTTGTGAGGAAACTAAGGTACAGACAGATCAAAGATGTGGTGAAACTACAGATCAGTAAGTAAACACAATTAAGCCCATGTGCACCTTGCTTACTGTAAGACAGCGCATACCGACAGTGCTTACTGGTCAATCCACCCCTGTGAGTAGCCCCAGATAAGGGGTCAGCGGTGGTAGCAGGCCCAGTTGTTATCTCTAGAGTGGGTACTGAGCTGAGATGAGATGAAAAAAGAAACATTCTGCTCTTAGGCATTTTGCTGGGAAAATCTCAGTTGTAGGGATGAAGGGGAGAATCAGTGTTAAGGTTGGAAAGGCACTTTATGGATAGATTACACAGAGCCTTGCATTTCAGGTAAAGCTATTCTGTAGGACATAGTGAGCCATGGAAGGTTTTTGAGCATGGAATTACATTTAGTCAGAAGGGAACAAGTAGAGTGGTTTGGCCCCTGCATTGGCGGGGGAAGAACCTATGTCTCCCAGCAAGCCTTTCCGAGTATTAAAGGAGAACTGCTCTTTTTATTTGTCCTGAACACGGTACTAGTACAGCATTTTCCTCTGTTCTCTACCAAAATTTGGGCAAACTGTTCTCATCCCTGAAATGCATTTGTGATAGATAATGAGTACTTCACTTCTATTAGACACTGCCTTTGTTGATGTTGTTATAATTATTTTTATTATTTTGTTTTCCATCTATGTGTGTGTGTGTGCATGTCTCTGGGTCAGTATTTTCTGTCCCACTGTTTAAACTATTCAGGGCAGGCCCTTGACCAAAGTAGTCCTTTCTGTCCAGCTCCAAACTCAGTTCCATGTGCAGGCAGGTCCCTAATTAATTGCTTTTGGTGATGGTGATGATCATCCAGAAATAATTGGAGACGGTGGTGGTGCTAGACATTAGGAAAGGGCAAAGGTAAGTTCTGGAATATGATCAAGACTCAGTGCAACCTCAGTGCTGTGGGTAGAAAAAAAGAGAAGCCACCTTCAGATATTAACGAGAAATAAAAAGGAAAGGGGTGTGTGCAATTAAAGGTGAGGTTTAAGGGATGTGAGATATGGAAACAGAAAATAGGCTTTCTATTTCTGAAACATGAGAGACTTGCTGCTGACTACTGAAGGGATCATTCTCAGCTTTGTTTGGTACCAAACTGAAGCTTTGTTTCTCCCAGAAGTTTGCATGTTGTTTTCTATTTTAATTTGTAAACATTTTCTTTCCTGCACCACTTCTGGTCAGTACATAACAAGTGTGCTCTGGGTACTCATGGCTGCCAACACATTTGTGTGAGTGACGGGGCAGAGTCCTACCACTGTGATTGTCACCCTGGCTACACCTTGAATGAAGATAAGAAGACATGTTCAGGTAAAGGCCATTCCTTAATGCCTATTTTTTTTCATAGGAAAATCTCCTAGGAGTAAGCTTTCCTCTTCATATCTGAAGCATGGCTGTGATTGACTCTTTCTCCTTGTCAGAATTCTCCAGTGGCTCCCAGTTGTCTACAGAATAAAATAATTTTACTCCTCAGCCAGACATTCTACCTTCCGTAATCTGATTCCATCCTGTCTTTTTATTTTATTGTGGTAAAATATAGATGACATAAAATTTACCGTTAACCAGTGTACAATTTGGTGGCATTAGTTATATTTACAGTGTTGTGAAACCATCACCAGTATTTGTTTCCAAAACTTTTTCATCACCCTAAACAAAAACTCTATATCCATTAAGCATTAACTTCTTATTCCTCCCTTCTCCCAGCCCATTGTTATCACTGATCTACTTTCTGTCTCTATGTATTTGTCTATTCTTATATTTTGAGTAAGTGGGATCATATGATATTTGTCCTTTTGTGTATGACTTATTTCACTTGGCATAATGTTTTCAAGGTTCATCAATGTTGTAGCATGTATTAGAACTTCATTACTTTTTATGAATGAATAATATTCCATTGTATGTATATACCACACTTTGTTTATGCATTCATATGTTGATGGACACTTGGGTTGTTTTCACTGCTTGGCTATTGTGAATAGTGCTGCAATGAACATTGGTGTACAAATATCTGAGTCCCTGCTTTCAACTCTTTTGGGTATATACCTGTCTTACTTATCTAGTGCTGCTATAACAGAAATACCATAAATGGGTGGCTTTAACAAACAGAAATTAATTTTCCCACAGTTTAGGAGTCTAGAAGTCCAAATTCAGAGTGTTGGCTCTAGGGGAAGGTTTTCTGTCTCTGTTGGCTCTGGAGGAAAGTCCTTGTCTCTTCAGCTTCTGCTTCCTGGTTCCTTGGAGATCTCCATGTGTCTTGGCATCTATCTTCCCCTGGGTTTAGGAGGTTCTCAGCTCAGGGACCCTTGGTCCAGAGGATGCACTCTGCTCCTGGCTCTTCTTTCTTGGTGGTAGTAACGTCCCTCTCCTCTCTGCTCGCTTTTCTCCCCTTTTATCTCTTGTAAAAGATGTGACTCAAGCAAGGGTGTGATTTGAGTAAGAGTGTGATTTAAGTAAGAGCGTGACTTAAGTAAGGTGGTGAAGATGTGACTTTAGTAAGGCTGTGACTTGAGTTTTACTAAAGGGCATGACTCAAGATATACCTCACACCAATCCTGCCTTATTAACATATAGAGGTTTGGGATTTACAACACATATTTATATACAATGCCACAAAATGGAGGACAATTACATCAGATTACAAAACGGAGGAAAAGTGTCATGCATTGAATTGTGTCGCCCAAAAATTTGTGTGTCAACTTGGCTAGGCCATGATTCCCAGTATTGTGTGATTGTCCACCATTTTGTCATCTGATGTGATTTTCCTATGTGTTGTAAATCCTACCTCTATGATGTTAATGAGGTGAGATTAGCGGCAGTTATGTTAATGAGGCAGGACTCCATCTACAAGATTAGGTTGTGTCTTAAGTCAATCTCTTCTGAGATATAAAAGAGAGAATTAAGCAGAGAGACATGGGGGACCTCATACCACCAAGAAAGCAACACTGAGAGCCGAGTGTGTCCTTTGGACTTGAGGTTTCTGTGCTGAGAAGTTACTAGATCAGGAGAAGATAGATAACAAGGACTTTCCCCCTAGAGCTGACAGAGAGAGAAAACTTTCTCCTGGAGCTGGCACCCTGAAATTGGACTTCTAGCCTCCTAGACTGTGAGAGAATACATTTCTCAATGTTAAAGCAATCCACTTGTGGTATTTCTCTTATAGCAGTACTAGATAACTAAGACAACAAGTAACACAATACTGGGAATCATAGCCTAGCCAAGTTGACACATATTTTTTGGGGACACAATTCAGTCCATGACATTCCACCCTTTGGACCCCCAAAATTCATGTTCTTGACACATGTATTATTTTCTTGGAGGACAACAGATGCGGCTCCTTTGGCCATTTTCCTGCCTGTAGAATTCCAAGAGACAGATAGCATTCTCTCTTTTTGTTCTTTCCTGTATCCCCTTCAGTCTAAGAGGACAGGTTTTCTGCTGTGGTAGTTGGTTAGATCCATCAGAGGCTTCATATCTTTAATAAAAGTTTGTGTAGCCACGTCCTTGATGAAAATTCTAGGCCAAATCTTTAAGTTTTGTTTTCATTTTGCACCAGTCATTTTTAAGTCCATCTCTTTCCACTTGCATTTTACTGTAAGCGGCAAGGAGAAACCACGAGGCCCCTTTAAGATTTTGCTTAGAAATCTCATCAACCAGATATCCAAGTTAATCACTTACAAGTTCTAACTTCCACCAGACATTTGAACATAATTCAGACAAGTTCTTTGCCACTGCATTGAAAGTGTTGCCCTTCCTCCATTGTCCAATCACATGTTCATCATTTTCTTTTAAAGCCTCCCAGAAAGCACATTTAATGTCCAAATTTCTAGCACTGTTCTGTTCCTGGCACCATATGTATTCTCTGAGACGATAGATACTTTCTCTATGGCACTCTTCACTTCATTCTAAGCCCTTACCAGAATTGCATTTGACATCCATAAATCTACTGACAGTCTTTTCAAGGCACTCTAGGCGTTTACTATTATGCACCTTAAAACTCTTGAAGCCTCCACCCATTACCCAATTCCAAAACCACTTCCACATTGTAGGTATTTGTTAGAGTAGCACACCATTTTTGTTACTAAAGTCTGTGTTAGTTATCTAATGCTGCTATAAATGAAATAACATAAGCGGATAGCTTTAACAAACAAATCTATTTTCTTACAGTTTAGGAGGCTAGAAATCTGAATTCAGGGTGCTGGCTGTAGGGGAAGGCTTTCTCTCTCTGTCAGCATTGGAGGAAGGTCCCTGCTTCTTCTGAGCTTCTGCTCCTGGACAATCTTCATGTGGCTTGGCACGTCTCTTCCCCCATATCTGCTTCTCTTGCTTGCTTGTTTAATCTCTTTTATATATCTAAAGAGATTGACTCAAGACACACACTGCAGTAATCCTGCCTCATAAACATAACAAAGACAAACCATTCCCAAATGGGATTATAACCACAGGCACAGATGTTAGGATTTACAACACATATTTTTGGGAGACATATTTCAGTTCATAACAATACCTAAAGTGAAATTGCTGAGTCATATGATTTAACTTTTTGCAGAACCACCAAACTTTTCCACAGTGGCTGCACCATTTTACATACCCACCAGCAATGTAAAGGGTTTCAGTTTCTCTATATCTTTGACAACACTTGTTGTTTTCCATTTTTCTGATCATAGCCATCCTAGTAGGGGTGAAGTAGTATCTCATTGTCGTTTTGATTTGCATTTACCTAGCCCTGGTTGCACAATGGTTAAAGAGCTTGGCTGCTAACCAGAAGGTCGACAATTTGAATCTACCAGCTGCTCCTTGGAAACCCTACGGGGCAGTTCTACTCCGTCCTATAGGGTTGCTGTGAGTTGGAATAGACTCGATGGCAACAGGTTTGGTTTAATGACTAATGATGTTGAGATCTTTTCATGTGGTTATTAGCCATTTGTATATGTTCTCTGGTGAAATGTCTATTCAAGTCCTTTGTTAATTTTTGATTGTGTTGTCTTTTTGTTGTTGAGTTGTAGGAGTTCTTTATATCGTCTGGATATTAAAACTTTATCAGATATATAATTTCCAAATATTTTATCTCATTCTGCAGGTTGTCTTTTTACTTCTTTGATGATAACCTCTGAGGCACAAGGGTTGTTTGTTTTGTTTTTTTTTTAATAAAGTCCCATTTATCTGTTTTTTCTTTTGGTTCTTATACTTTTGGTGTTGTACCTAAGAATCCATTCCCCAGTACAAGGTCCTGAAGCTTTGCCCCTGTGTTTGCTTCTAAGAGTCTTATGGTTTAAGTCTTATATTTAGGTTCTTGATCCAGTTTGAATTAATTTTCATGTATGGTATGAGGTAGGGGTCCAACTTCGTTATTTTGCCTGTGGAGATCCAGTTGTCCCAGCACAATTTGTTGAAGGGATTGTTATTTCCCCATTCAGTGTACTCAGCACTCTTGTCAAAAATCAATTGAGCATAGATGTATGAGTTTATTTCTGGAATCTCAGTTCTATTTCACTGGTCTATATGTCTATCTTTATACCAGTAACACATTGGTTTGATTACTGTAGACTTATAGTATGTTTTGAAATTGGAGAGTCTGAGACCTCCTCAATTTGTTCATCTTTTTCAAGATTGCTTTGGCTATTCAGGGCCCTTGCAATTCCATATAAATTTGAGAATTGGCTTTTCCATTTCTACAAAAAATCCTATTAGAATGTTGGTAGGACTTGTATTCCTTTCAATCCATAAAGACAGGATGTCTTCCATTTATTTAGGTCTATTTTAATTCTAAATTTATTAAATAAATTTATTTAATTTCTTTCAGTAATGTTTTATAGTTTTTGGTGTACACATTTTTTATCTCCTTGGTTTAGACTTATTCCTAGGTATTTTATTCTTTTTAGATACTATTGTAAATGGAATTGTTTTTTTCAATTTCCTTTCAGATTATTCAAAACCTAACTGATTTTTGTATGTTGATCTTGTATCCTGTAACTTTGCTGAATTCATTTATTAGCTCTAGTAGCTTTTTTTGTGTGAAATCTTTGGGATTTTCTAAATATAGAATCATGTCATCTGCCAATGGAGATAGTTTTACTTCTACATTTCCAATATCAATGCATTTATTTCTTTTTCTTGGCTAATTGCTCTGGCTAGGACTTCCAGTACAATGTTCAAAAGCAGTGGTGAGAGCAGGCATCCTTGTCTTGTTTCTGATCTTAGGGAAAAATCTTTCAGTCTTGCATCATTGAGTATGATGTTGTTGTTAGGTGCCATCGAGTCATCTCCAACGTATAGCAATGCCACGTAGAGCAGAACAAAACATTGCCCTGTGC